TATATATATATATATATATATATATATATATATATATATATATATATATATATACTACTTACTACTGTCATAAGATAAAAAATAAAACTGGATACATAAATAAATAAATAAACAACTAAATAAATAAAAACTATATTATTTACCTGAAAAATGTGTTGGGAACTACCTGAAATAAAAGTTTTTTTATATTTTATTTTATTTCAAGTAACATTTTTTACTTTCAGTTTTAGTTTTAGTTAACTATAACGGCCCTGCTATTTTGAGATAGTTTAAAATAAGACGTAAAGTCTCATTTTGAGATATAAAGTAACATTTAAGTCACAAATGTAACACCATTGCGACTTATATTTCACAATGTGGCTTTATAGTTCACAGCAGCAACTTTATGTCTCCCAACTGCAACTTTACTTCACATAACTGTGTGGCAGATATAAATAAAGTTGCAGGGGATACAAAATTGTGTATATACAAACCCATATCATTTAGTTATTTTATCTGTGCTTGGCTGAAGATCTCATATAAGACTATATTAAGTTAAACGGTCAAGGTTATGAGAGCTCTCTTCATTCTGGAGCTCATGCCAGCGTTGGCACAAGGGCCAGCGGTGTAATCGATTGTACTAACTGTATATATATATATATATATATATATATATATATATATATATATATATATATATACTACTTACTACTGTCATAAGATAAAAAATAAAACTGGATACATAAATAAATAAATAAACAACTAAATAAATAAAAACTATATTATTTACCTGAAAAATGTGTTGGGAACTACCTGAAATAAAAGTTTTTTTATATTTTATTTTATTTCAAGTAACATTTTTTACTTTCAGTTTTAGTTTTAGTTAACTATAACGGCCCTGCTATTTTGAGATAGTTTAAAATAAGACGTAAAGTCTCATTTTGAGATATAAAGTAACATTTAAGTCACAAATGTAACACCATTGCGACTTATATTTCACAATGTGGCTTTATAGTTCACAGCAGCAACTTTATGTCTCCCAACTGCAACTTTACTTCACATAACTGTGTGGCAGATATAAATAAAGTTGCAGGGGATACAAAATTGTGTATATACAAACCCATATCATTTTAGTTTCTCTACTAGAGAGAAGACTATTTTATCTGTGCTTGGCTGAAGATCTCATATAAGACTATATTAAGTTAAACGGTCAAGGTTATGAGAGCTCTCTTCATTCTGGAGCTCATGCCAGCGTTGGCACAAGGGCCAGCGGTGTAATCGATTGTACTAACTGTCACATACTGAATATATTCATGGCCATACCAAGAGAGGAAGCTGTCCACATAATTTCACAAGCTAAATGGTAATTAGTGAGAGAGCGAGTAATATGCATATATGCGTGTGTGTACTGTACGTGCTTCATAAAGTCTATCTTCATCATGGGAGTCACTTCTCACTGCAGTGGCCCCTTATTAATCTGACTGGGCTAATTTGAAGCTAATGAGCTCAGATTTGTGGTAATTGTGGCCTTTTATTATTAATTTTTTTATTGTTTTCTTTTATTATGTCCCTGTGGCTCAGTGGTAGAGCATTGCATTAGCAGCACAAAAGGTCATGGGTTTGATTCCCAGGGAACACACACACTGGTAAAAAAAATGTATAGCCTGAATGCACTGTAAGTCGCTTTGGATAAAAGCGTCTGCTGAATGTATAAATTATTATTTATTAAGGATTGAGCACAGAGAATGCTTTGGTTTGGTTTGATTATTGTGGTGAAACTAGTTCCATTCCAAAACCTGTTGAGCTTCCTACCTAGACGGCATTATAAGGCAGAAACTTTAAATAGGATGAGAAATTAATAGCATACAGAAATATTAACATTGTAATTTTTTACTCAATAAAAATATAATTTATGTAATTTTTAATACGCATATACACTACAGGTCAAAAGTTTGGACTAACTAAGATTTATGTCTCTTATGCTCATGCATATACTTAAAATACAGTAAAACAATATTATTGTAAAATACTATTACATTTTATAATAACTGCTTTCTAGTTTCATATAAATTTTTTTATTTAGTCTTCAGTGTCACATGATCCTTCACAAATCATTCTGATATAATTCTAATATAATATTCTAATATAATATAATAATAGCTCTTATTATCATAAATGTCAAGTTTTTTTTCTGTCTAATATTTTTCATAATTGCAAATCATGATACATTTTAACAAGTCTTGTAATTTTAATTAAATATTTAATAGCACTTAATTGAAATATTTTTTTTAACATTATAAATGCCTTTACTGTCACTTTTCATCATGCGTTCTTGCTGGTTTCTTTTTTTTTTATCTTAGTTACCCTAAACAATTGAATGGTAGTATATGACAGTTTCCACAAAAATATTAAGCAGCAAAAAACTGTTTTCAACATTGACAATAATAAGAAATGTTTCTTGAATACCGAATCAGCATATTAGAATGATTTCTGATGGATCGCGCGGCACTGAAGACTGAATTCCTTAAAACAAAAACAAAAAGTTAAAAACTGACTATTTTACCCAATATTAATGTAGGCATGTATTTATGTATTTCAGAATATTGTGTTGTTACACTCTAAAAAATGCTGGGTTGTTTCAACCCAATGTTGGGTCAAATATGGACTAACCCAACTGTTGGGTTAAAAAGCTAATTTAAAAATGTAACCAAAATTTAACCCAACAGTTGGGTTAGTCCATATTTGACCCATGTTTTCCACGCATTTTTTAGAGTGTAGCTTAGCAACATGCTAGCATCAATATCTACTGGAATCAATTCAGAGTCTCCTGTTTCCCAACATTTAGGGATATGAAACACACTTGGTTCAGGAGTCAGTTGTCATTTAGTCATTTATCTGAAGTGACCACCAGTACACTTACTACAGTGACAGTCCCTGTGGAGTACACAGAGGTTAAGTGTCTCGCTCAAGGACACAGTGTTTATTCACGGATCGATCCTTCTGGGATATGAACCTACAACCTTTTGTTAACCGAGTGAATTTATTATCTGCTAGTCAACTCCACCTACTGCCCTCTTGACCTGTGAACCAGGCATCATTATTATATTCTGATATACAGTATGAATGTCTATGGAAGCTTGTTGGGCCATTGGATAAAAAAATAAAAGGGGTAACTGCAACTTTTTTCCCACCGTCCTGAGAAGAAACGTCAGAATTGTCAGATATAAACTCACAATTAGACGAAAAAGTCACAATTACCTTTTTTTACAAGCTGTAAACTCAGAATTGTGAGGGAAAAAAATGGAATATTCAGACATTTTTTTTCTTAGAATTGCGAGTTTATGTTTTGCCATTCATAATTGTGAGGAAAAAAGACGCAATTATCTTTTGCAACCTTGTTACAATACAAATGTTACAATATAAATCAGGTCAACAAAGTTATATTGTCATATTGTCACAAGTGAGTCAATCTATAGAGCTCCTTAAGGAAGATGTACATCTATAAATTAAATTTAAAGGGATAGTTCACTTAAAATCACTATTTACTCACTCTTATGTCATTTTTGTCTATTCAATGAAACTTAATGGAGAGCATAAAAAAAATTGAAATTAGACATTTTCTAAATATCTTCTTTTGTGTTCCACATACTGAAATTTAAGTCATTATACAATAAAAAAACAAAAGTCACTTTCCCAAGGAAAAAAAAACACACAAGGGTGAGTAAACGATTCAGAATATATATTTTTCTTTAAGTGCTTTTAATTTGAATGATGCATCTGTATGCATCACTTGCATGCATATTTAAAGTGATCTTAAGATGTTCTTAATGCACTTTGGGAAACCCAAGTCTGAATGGCTTGGGATGCTGCAAGGAATTGATCCTGTAAGCTGTACATCGTCCTCAAGGGCTCAGACATGCTGTCCCCAATATTTGTTTTAGACAATGACACATCCATAAGAATGACGGACAGAATGGAAGTGAATGAATACTCTACCTTTTAATTTACCTGTATGGAACACACACCTGACAAAAGGCAATCTTCACATCCAGGACTGGAGCACTGCAGTTATATAAGAAACGTCTGTTCATAAATACCTGAAACACAGGAATTAGGAGTCATGATTAAAAGCTGAGTGAATAAATATAGCAAGAATTTGATACTGAGGTAGTAAGATATTTGCTTTTTGTTCCGTAAAGCTAATTTCATCTTCAAATGACTTGATTCCTCAAGATGTTTTTTGGCAGATAATGATATGTGCTAAAAGAGAGAAAGCTGAGATGATAAACAACACTCTTTTTTTTCTTCTCTCTTTTCACATCTACAATCTTCATTCTGTCTCAAAGCCCCTGCCCTGTGGATATAACGGCTTTCAGCACACTGAGGATCTATGCATTAGAACAGGCTTTCCAAGAATAGTCAGTGTCATCCAGGAGTCAAAGACAGTATGCTAATTTGCGTTGATTATTTCTTCAGCCTGCTCTGTTTT